AACAACTTTTGTTTGGAACATTTTTTTATTTACTTAATAGTTTTTGAGATATTTAAGGAAAACTTGATAACTTTTTCAATATTTAACTCACGATATCTCGCTAACTATTTGTCAAAAGAAAAAGTGGTACTAGACTTTTTTGCTCTATTAAGTCTCAAGAATATATTGTTCCAATAGCGCCCTGAATTTGGTTAATTTAATAATTTAGAAATTTCCAAAGGTCGATAAGTTAACAACAGTTAGGGCACTATTATAGTAATATATTCTTGATAATAAATAAAGTGGAAAAGTCTAATATTGGGTCTGGGAAAAAGTTCGTGGCGTTTTTTTTAGTAAAATTTAACTGGTTTTCTTATAGTGTGAAAATTAATTTATTTAAACCAAATATGCTCTATTATTATCGACAATGTTTCGCCATTTTTCGGGTAGAGCCATGATGTCATCGGTGAAGAACTTCTGTGGTTTCTGGTTGAAAAACTGAATCAAGTGGTTTTCACAGGCTTCTTTTGAAACCAGCTTAATTCCATTGAAAGAGTTCTGCAGAGATCGGAACAAGTGATAGTCAGAGGGTGCTTTGTCTGGACTATATGGTGGATGCATCAAAACTTCCCAACCAAGCTCTCGCAATTTTTGACAGGTCATCAAAGAAGTAGTCGGGCGTTGTCATGATGGAAGACAACACCTTTCTTATTATTCAATTCGGGCCGTTTTCTTTCAATTGCCTGTTGTAATTTCTCTAGTTGTCCACAGTAGAGTTGACAATCAATAATCTGACCAACTGGAAGTAGCTCATGGTGGACGATTCCCTTCCAGTCCCACCACACACACAGCATCACCTTTTTCGGCGTCAATCCTGGCTTCGCGAACGCTTGTGACGGCTCACCATCCCTTATCCACGATCTTTTACGCTTCCGATTGTCGTACGTGATCCATTTTTCATCACCGGTTATGACATGTTTCAGAAATGGCTCGATTTCATTGCGTTTCAGCAACGCATCGCAGATGTTAATTCGGTCTATCATGTTTTTCGCGCTCAACTCATGAGGAACCCATACATCGAGCTTATTTTTGTAGCCAGCTTTGTGTAAATGGTTCAAAACAGTTTTGTGGTCAATGCCTAGCTCCATATCCAATATCGACACTGCTGATATGCTTATCTTGCTGGACTGCTTCAAGAATTTCATCAGCTTTTTCAGTGATTGGACGACCAGAGTGTGACTCATCTCTCACATCAAAATTACCAGAACGAAAGCGAGTGAACCATTTCCGCACAGCAGATTTTGATAAAGTACCTTCACCGTACACAGCACAAATTTTTTCACAAACCTGCGCAGCGTTCTTCCCTTTGTCGTAATAATATTGCAAAATATAGCGCAATTTTTCATTACTTTTCTCCATTTTCAAACGCAAACAACTTTCCAACCACTGCACCAATTTCGATGTTCATACACTCAAAGTAACGCTCGAAGTGTCACCTTTCCAACGAGCGTTTAGTGGTGTCGCTGCGATCTGTGTTTCCTGAGTTATTTGTAATTGACACCATCTATCGGGAAAAACGCCACGAACTTTTCCCAGACCCAATATTATTTTTTCTTTCGATGAATAGTTAGCAAGATATCGTAAGTTAAATGTTGAAAAAGTTACCAAGTTTTCCTTAAATATTTCAAAAAAATATTAAGCAAATAAAAAAATGTTTCAGACAAAAGTTGTTTAAATTAGTTGGTAAAAAAAGATGATATAATAAAAGATTGGGATTTCTATTTAAGAAAATTGATGATCAGTGAATATCTCGAAAGTGGCACCATCTATAAACAAAATGCTATCGCTGTTTTATGTTCCCTTCAAGCCAAATAACTTTTGTCTGAAACACTTTTCGATTTAACATAGTGTTTTTGAGACATTTGAGTGGGTCCTTTAAAATGGAACACCCTATATATATTGAGAGTCTCCTGGAGACTCTCTGTGAGTCTTTATTTAATGACGGCAGAAGCGAACGATCGTATGCTAAAAATTATTTTTGTTATATAGATACATTCCAGAGGATGATATTTGTGATCATCCTAACAAATTTAAAAAATATTCTGGACACACTTTCCTCTTGTTGTGATAATAAATAATTTTCCATAAAAATTCTGTAACAATAATCATGAGTGATAATATGTTCAACTCAACATTTGTATAAATTTCACTAATTATTTACAGTGAATGATTATCATACAGCAAAAGAAAAATGTTCAGAACATTTTACAAATGTGTAAAATCGATCATAAGTGTCGTTTTATGGAAATCTCTTTTATTTTAACGTACATGAAAAAAAAGGTTAATATACCATTGTTTTCATTTCTGACATCAAACAAGAATAGTCACAGAAAGTTCTCAAGATCTGTACTATTTCAAAGAATAAAATGATATCTTAAAAAGACGCCGTTTTATTGACTCAATAGAAAGTCAATAAGATGTCACCTTGCTATTTGGAATAATATCAGGTGTAGTAAAAAGAAATCCATTATTTTTCCAATAGATGGCTTTAGTTATCTGTATCTCGCGTTGTATAAGTCCGATCGGGTTGCACTAGATGGCGTTAGAAAGATGAGATTTCGTACTAAAGAACTTTTCTGACAGTTTTATGATTAGTTAACTCAGTTTTGTTTGAGCGCACGTCAAAGATGGACGCTAGCAAAGAGAAAATACGCTATATTTTACAGTTTTTCTTCGATAAAGGCGAAAACGCAAGCCAGGCGGCTGAAAATGTGAATAGTGTTTATGGTCCTGATACTGTAACAGCCAATCACGCGCAATTTTGGTTTCGTCGATTCCGTTCCGGTAATTTCGATGTCAAAGATGCACTACGCACTGGAAGGCCAATTGTCGAAAATATCGGTAAAATCATGGACATTGTCGAGTCCGACCGTCATGTAAGCACTGTTTCGACTGCCCAAGAGCTAAAGATTGCACAAAAAACCGCTTGGAACCATTTGAATAAGACTGGATACAAAAAGAAACTCGATGTATGGGTGCCACATGAGTTAACGAAAAAAAACCTCATGGACCGAATTTCCATCTGCGAATCGCTGCTGAATCGCAACAAAATGGACCCATTTCTGAAGCGGTTGGTCACTGGTGATGAAAAGTGGATCACTTACGACAACGTTAAGCGAAAACGGTCGTGGTCGAATCGCAGTGAGCCGGCGGAAACGGTAGCCAAGCCAGGATTGACGGCTAGGAAGGTTTTGCTGTGTGTTTGGTGGGATTGGCAGGGAATTATCTACTATGAGCTGCTTCCCTACGGCAAAACTCTTAACTCGGAACTGTACTGTCAACAATTGGACCGTCTGAAGGAAGCATTCGCCCAGAAGTGGCCAGCTTTGGCCAATAGGAGAGTAATTGTGTTCCATCAGGACAACGCCAGGCCACACACATCGATAGTGACTCGCCAGAAGCTCCGGGAGCTTGGTTGGGAAGTTCTTATGCATCCACCTTATAGTCCGGACCTGGCACCAAGTGATTACCATCTGTTCCTGTCCATGGCGAACAATTTTGCTGGTGAAAAATTCGCTTCAAGAGAGGCTTGTGAAAATCGACTGTCTCAATTTTTTGCCAATAGGGACGAGGGCTTCTATGAGAGAGGCATAATGAAATTACCTTCAAAATGGCAACAAGTTATCGAACAAAACGGCGCATATTTGACTTAAATCGGATCATTCTAACTATGGTAATTAAAGCCTTCAATTTCATGCAAAAATAATGGATTTCTTTTTATTACACCTGATACAAGTCTTAAAGACTTACGGTAACTATTCTTGAATTAATAAGACGTCTAAGTTTAGGATATGAAACTAAATCATTGTAAAACTAAATCATGATGATTAAATATAATTAGTGATTAAGTATGAGAATTAAAGCAATATATAAAGTATCCCATAATTGTAACATACCAACTCCATAAGGGCGTAGAGCTAAGCGAGAGGAATGAAAAAATGCTCTTCCATTTAGCGATATCTTGTATAATTTTTAAATAACCGCTATTTGAAATGTTGCTACAACATTGCAGATATAATAATGCAAAATATTGTTTTTGCAATATCTCTGCAATATTGCACTGCAATGTGCAATGTTGCAACATTGCAGCAATATTGCTGCAATTGTCTGTGCTGTATGGGAACTAGAATGTTTTAAGGCGTCTAATACTTGATATTCTTTGCTTCATATATATTTCGATTTCTAATATTGTTACAATCTGCGGATGATATCAAAACAAAGGAATGCACTAATTTTGTAAATATTACAGTTGGTGCATTTTTAAAAAAATACTAGTAATATTAATATAGTTCAGCGTATGAGATATGCAAGGATGCTTATCTTACCTGCACATAGATGGAGGTAGCGGTATAGACTCTCTTACTCCGATGCGATCAAACTTGGCATATATTCGCTGCCGTTAGCATTTACTACCGCCACAGCGCCACTGCCGAGGCCAATGGTGGAGTCGCGAGTCACGCGACCGGCACATACGTGAATACCACAGTTGAGCGCTTGCATTCTCAGCGGTAAAAGCGAAGGTTATACGCGCGCGCGGTGTGTGTATGTGTGTGTATATATTGCATTTTCCTCAAGAAATCTTTTCGTATAGTGTTGTCCTTGTTTTCGATCAAATGCGTACGTCTCTTATTTCTTCTCCCTTTGCCCTTCTCTACATCTCTTCGTATCTCTCTCCGTCTTTCTTTCTCTCTCCCCGTCTGTCTCTTCGTCTCTCTCTCTCTCTCTCTCTCTCTCTCTCTCTCTCTCTCTCTCTCTGCCTTTCTCCCTCTGTTTCTCTCCGTCCTTCTCTGTTTCTCTTTCTGTTTCTCTGTCTCTCTCTCTCTCTCTCTCTCTCTCTCTCTCTGTCCTCTCTCTCTTTCTCTCTTTCTATATCTTCATCTCTTTCTTTGTCTCTATCTCTCTCTTCGTATCTTTTTCTCTCTTTCTCTCTCATTCTTCTTCCTTTTCCCTGTCTTTCTTACTCCGTTTCTCGTTTATATATATTTCTTTTATTGAGTAGTTATAAAGCAGGTATAGCAGAAATACAAATAAATGTGTTTTTGATATCAAATAAAGATTATGTGAGCTTTATAAAAAAAGATAAAAAGAAAAAAAACAAGAGATGGAATGAGAAAGAGAGATGTACGAAGTAGAGGAAGAATGAAAGGCAGGTTGACGAAGAAAGCGTGACAAGGAGAGAGAGATTGAGTGAGTAAGAGAGAATAGGAAAGAGAGAGACGAACTATATCGGACAGTGACGAACAGTAAAGAGTGCAACGAGGACACGGCAATCAGTTGTGCTTTCGCGAGAGGCGAGGCTAAGTGTAACGCTGTTTCGAATTCGCGACTATTCTCTGTATTTCTCTCTTAAGGAAAATTACGTGTGTAGGATTAACTGTTCAAATTTTTGGCTCTTTTGTCTTTTGCATACGCCATGCATACTGTGTGCGCGCACGCGCGTGTGTGTGTATTGTATGTATCGCGGGCGTCGTGCGGGCGGGCAAATGGACGTATGTATGGCGTGCGTGCATGCGTCGCGCGCGCGTGTGGTGTGTATGTGTGCGCGCGCGCGCGTGCGTGATACGTGCGTGCATGCGTGCATGCATGCGTGCGTGCGTCGTATGTGCTTGTATGCGTCATGCGTGCGTGCGAGCGTGTGTGTTTATTTATTTTTTTATTCATTTTTTCATTTATAATATAGTGCAGCACGAAGAAGAAAATACTAAGTGACATGTTAAACGTGTATTAAGTGTTTATGAGTTCCACCTGAAGACCGAAGTTAAGAGAGGACCAACATCTTGCGAGAATTTTTACGTTACATATCTTGTTATGTGAGTATATATTTTAATTTCTACATATTCTTCATTTCATATGTTATTAATATCTGCATGACACATCTGAACAACATATTGGTATCTTGTTTATATAAATAACAATATGACATTTATCCTAGTTTTAATCTGATAGATGTAGAATATTGAATTTAGCTCTTTCTTTCTCTTATTTCTCTCTTATATATGTGTGTCCTACTTCTCGCCTCATTCCAAATGTTCTCATCTCTGCTTCCCCTCCTTGCATCTCTTTCAACTTCCTCCCTCTTTTTTCTCCCACTTATCTCTCTTCCTCCCACTCCCTCTCACGCTCTTTCTTTCTATGTTTCTTTCTCACTCACTCGCTATTCACTTGCTCGACCTTCGAGCGAGGACGTGCAGTGCGAGGATTTTTCGATCGCACAAATATAGCAGATAACTTGTTGACATTCGAAATTTTTGAAAATATTGTTACTAATAATTGCAATATTAATAATCATTATTATATTATTCGTATTATTCAAAGTGAATAACAGTTATTTATAAATAAATTTATCACAATAATATATAGAATAATCAGAATAATATGACAATCTCATTTATTTCTACAATTTAGAAGAAAACAAAGTTACATTAAGATTGAAACTATGAATATTATATTAAAATATATTATATTATTTCATTTATATTCATAGCATACATGGCAATATTGTGTAACATGCATAAAATGTCGTCATAATTATATAAGATAACATTTGTAGTTATTTTCTTTAAACATTTGTAGTAATATAATATTTATGATAAATTTTCTGAAGAAAATTATATGAATATGTTTTCCTCTTTAAGATCATAAATTTTAACATAAACTTATGTTTTAACATAAGCTTATGTTTTTTCATGATTTTAATCTTTTTGCAATGACTAGTCTATGAAGTAGTTGCTTATGAAACTAATAATTTCATGAATAATTTTTATAAAAATCATATAAAATACATGGTGTGATAAAGCAACTTTTAAAAGTATCCTAAAACTTTGTTTGCTGTATAATATATACATACAGCTTGTTCTGTTCGCAGTGATAGTTGTAAAGGTTAAATTTGTTCATACATATTTCATAAAATGCAAAATGCAAGTTTCATATAATTATCATAATTATTACTAAATTAAAATGCAATAAATAATATGTTAAAAATATAATAAGCATCTACTGACTCCTTGCTTCATGCCTTTATTCGTGACTATATATATATCATTATTATAATGAATTATGTATTATATTATATTGTCAATATTGTATTGAGTTGTTTATCAAGACAAACGAAAGTTTACAAATATGCGACAGTTTAATATGCTAATCAGAAATGTGCCAATAAATAATAAGAAAGCAATAAGAAAATTTTAAAGATTAATCCTTTAGCAAAACATGCAATATCAGAAACTATTTTAACATTTAGAATTAATTTTTCTAACATTATATAATGTGCTCATTGTATTGTAATGATTATCATAATATTTAAGTAACATAGCATATTAAGTAAAAATATATAAAAAATTAATGAGTTTTGTTAGTGAATAACATATCTTAATAAAAATGTTCAAAAAATACTTTTTAAAGGAAATATTAAATATACGTTTTTAAAATTTTATAAATTACAAATGAAATATACAAACATAGAATGAAATAGAAATAGAAATATGTTATAATATGTTTTGTAATAAAAGTTTTAAAACTGTTCCAAAGAGAACAAATTTTTTTAGCATTTCATAATTTTTCTTATGAATAATGATTGAAGATCATGTTGATAAAATAATTATATATAACAGATACTATATGTTTAGAATTTTATAATTTTATTAGCATCAGTATGAATTCCACAATTTTTGGATAAATATTAAACTTTCCTTATATGTTGAAATATAAGTAGAAAATTTAAATCCTAAATATTTTGACAACAAATTGAAGTAACATGTTGATGTCAAATTTGTGCAAAGAATAAGTTTTTAATTATATATTGTCTTAGGAAATTAGAAAACTAGGAAAGTTATTAAGAAAGGGGATTATTATATATAGGAAATATATTATATATAGGATATATAGGATATATATTATATAAAGGAAAAGAATTTATTATACATGAAACTTGTAATTTCTGTATTTATTAAATTTAATTAATTATTAATGGAATAACGTTTTCATGTATGTGTGCATACATGCACGCATGTGTAAGGTATGGAAAGGGGAAAAGTGTGTATAAGGTTTAAAATGTGTCAGGACAAAATTCGAATATCTCGAAAAGTTTGCATTTTGAGAAAAGATATCTGAAATAAATGTTGCATAATATAAAGCAATATATTGTGTTAATCGTTTGACTTCAGGTTACATTACTAGATATACATATCGTTAAGTCCATATTTTTTTTAAATAGAACCTTTTTGTGATTCCAAAATCTGACAACTAGTGTTAAGAACTTTCCGTAAATTCTTATAAAACTTATTTTTTTTGACTTGCGTGAATTATGGCGAGATTTCGAAAGTTAATTTACTATTAGTATTAACTTTGTTTAAAGTGTGCTATATAAAGGTTGATTTTCTGAATTTATTAAATAATTATATTGAATATGTGTTGAACATACATATATGCGTGTACGTGCATGATTTATAAGTCCGACCGTGCAACTTTCAAGTGGTACTTGAATGATATTTATGTTGACGTTAAGTTAATTTCGAAAACTTGCATAACTCGTATAAGCCTGAGCGAAAGCTAAACATTATCTATTTTGTAAAATCCTTAACATCAACAGTCAAACTCTGGAGTCAAAAATAATAGATGCTATTTAAAGAAATCGATATGATCTTGACCTGACCTTGAAATACTTCTAGCAACTTGACCTGACCTTAACTCCTATTAAATAACTTGACCTGGTAACGCGATCCAAGACTATATAATTAATTTTTAAATACGTTATTTTATATCTTGTTATATTTGTTTTAAACATTTTTCTCATGTCTATTAAGCTGACACAGTCATTTTAGCACAATTACATGCGATTTATATAGAAATTTAATACTATTTTTTAATGTTAATTTGTCACTGTCTTTCCGCTTTTGTTGCTTTATTTATTTCGTTAAAAATAATAATTATGTTAATTTAAAAATAAAGTTAACACAGCCATATATGTAAAAAACTTAGAAATGAAAATGGAAACGTATTTTTTAACGCTATTTTATTGCTATCTTTCTAAAATTCTTTCTTTTAATAAACTTTTAATAAAAAAGTATTACTCCAAATCAACATGTACTAACACATATACATACAAAAGTATTAAAAATTTATATATATTTCAACATATATCTTTTTGATTTTGTTTCTTTTCATTTTGAATAAATCGAGAAAATACCCATGATAATTTAAAACAGCACACGTTAAATTAGCCATTTACTGCTTTAACGTAACGTCAAATGTCCATTTTTTAATACTTCATACATATTATAAGGATTGACAAGAGAAAGACAATCATAGATATAAATCTGAATGACATTGCCCAACAATGCATAAATCCTTATAATATGCAAATATATAAACTGATCGGCATTGCTGCATACACAGGATACAAGACAAGATTAACACAAGTAGGGCATTACACGGCACTTGCTCTACGAATGGGACAATGGATTGAATATAATGATCTGGAAAACAAGGAAAAACATATTAAATCAAATATAAAAATTATATCGGCATTATTAATATATGCGAAAGAAAAATAAATTTTTATTTCTAAAACTTATTGGACATAGTTAAAAGTTTTTTGCCTATTTTTAACAAAATTAAGTCTATTTAAAAACCTCCACACAATTTAAATAGCCTATTCACAACAAAACAACCACAATCTGTAATTACAAACTTAAATGTCACAAAATATCCGACATCTATTGCAAAAGTTGCGGCTGGATTCTGCTGATCACAAATGGCACTTTACTCTTGAGCGTGAGCTGGTTCTTGGATGGTTTGTGTAGGAATGCCGCGGGTACAAAATCTGCAATTACATATTTTAGTAGCACAAAATAAGCATCTTTTGCATATCTTTTGCAAGAGTTGCAGTCCGAGTCTATTCATAAGAGCGGATACTGACGTTTCAAATTGATTTTTGGGTTTTAATTTAATAAGTGTTGTTTTTCTGAAATTGAATGCAAATATGAACTTTTTTCTGATGGCACAAATTAGCACAAATTATGTACTTTCTATTTATGTACTTGTTTTTAATTTTTAATTATTTTTTGTTGTGGTCCTGCTGGCTTCATATGAAGATAGCAGCGCCACGATTTTTTCAAAACGGTACGCGATACGAAGTTTTCCCTTATGGCACAAATTAGCACAAATTATGCTCTTTCTCTTTATATACTTGTTTTTAATTTTTAATTATTTTTTGTTGTGGTTCTGCTGGCTTCATATGAAGGTAGCTGCGCCACGATTTTTTTCAAAACGGCACGAAGTACAAAATTTTTATTAGTAGCACAAATTAGCACAAAATAAGTACTAAAAAGTTTAATAGGTGCATTTCGATTCTGCCGATTTGGTCCTGCCTATTTCAAAGAGGTCCCACCTCCTTAGGTGAGATTTTGCATATAACGAACATCTTATATATATCGAGAGCAATTAATACAATATTTTCAATTTTTTATTTTTGGTTATATTTTATTCTTATGCATACATGTTATATACTCGTTTATGAAACTGAACACATTTTTTCTAATAAAGTTAGGGAAACATAAAATGATCTCGATTTTAGACTATTATTTACAAGTTTGTGTAGAAAATCTTTATGATAGCAACTATAGTGATGATATACGACATTCGACATTACAATTATATTGGATGATTCAAAATGTCAGCACCTTTGTTATATTTCTATTTATCAGATAAGATTTATACTATGTATTTTCTATATTTGAGGTAGTTTTTATTCTTGTCACAATTATTATGCAAGCACGTTTCACAAAAAAATTTTGATATTTCCAGAAAA